TAGATGAACGCGTCATTGGGACGGTAGTAATGGATATTTTTGGCCGATATTAAAAATTTAATCCATTGCTGAATTTATGTACACTGATAGGCAAAATAAAGTGCCCACCCCATCATTTTTGAAATTTCTCTCATTTATTTGGTTCAAATTCAAATAAACACACCGTAGTCTGTTTCGATGTCTTACCTTTATTATTCTTTTAAAGTTACACCTATGGAATACTGAAAATATAAAGTTTTACTTGAAGTAAAAGAAAATCAATTTGGATTGAAAAAGAAAACAGTGACAAAAAAAAGTGCCCACTTCAAAAATCGGTATGTTTTCGATAAGTTTCCATCGGAAAACCCCTCGATTGTTTTTGTTTTGAAAGTTTGACATGTATTGAAGCAAACGGGTGGAACTGGTGCATTTGTACACGTGATCGCATTTGAATCAGTTGAAAAAAATGGAGGACGTAGTGATTTCGAAAGCAATTCTCGTATCCGAAAATTGGTTGTTCGTGATGTGCAAAACGGTGAATCGCACCGGTCTGTCGCTAGGAAGTACAATATCAGCAAAACAGCGGTCGGGAAAATTCTGCAGAAAATGAAATCGTTCGGATCAGTGGTGGATCGCCCTGGCAGAGGCAGGATGCGCAAAACGGATGCGAGAACGGACACCAAGATCATGCGTGAAGTGAAGAAGAACCCGAAGGTAACTGTCCGCGAGATCCAGGAGGCTCTTCAGCTAACAGTTTCCAGTCGAACTGTTCGTCGCCGTCTCGTAGCACAGGGGTTGAACAGCAAAGTTGCTCGGAAGCGCCCATTTATCAGCAAGGCAAACAAAGTCAAACGGCTTAAGTTTGCTAAGGAGCATGCTGATAAGCCCCTAGAGTTCTGGAAAACGGTTCTCTGGACGGACGAATCAAAATTCGAACTGTTCAACCGGAAGCGACGGGTTCGTGTGTGGTGTAGATCGGGTGAGGAGCTTCAGGAGCGCCACATACAAGGCACGGTGAAGCATGGAGGAGGAAATGTGATGGTCTGGGGGTGCTTTTCGTGGGGTGGAGTGGGAAGCCTGGTGAAAATCGACGGGATAATGACGGCAGATTCCTACATCGACATCCTGCGGGAAAATCTGGAAGTTTCGCTGATCCAGACGGGCCTTGAGGAGAAATTCGTATTCCAGCAGGACAACGATCCGAAGCATACTGCCAAGAAGACTAAGTCTTTCTTCCGGTCATGTCGAATTAAACCACTGGAATGGCCTCCACAAAGCCCGGACCTCAACCCCATCGAGAATTTGTGGGCGATTCTCGATGCCAGGGTTGACAAAACTGGTGTTACCAATAAAAATAACTATTTTGAAGCCCTGGAGCGCGCCTGGGAAGAACTAGATCCACAGCACCTGAAGAATCTAGTGGAGAGCATGCCGAAGCGCCTGCAGCTGGTCCTGAAGGCCAAAGGAGGACACATTAACTATTAGGCTGGTATTCTTTTACTTTATTTTATGTTTTCTGGAGTTAAAATGCAGTGGGCACTTTTTTTTGTCACTGTTCTTTTTTACACCCATTTTGATTTTTTTTTCTTCGAGTCAGTCTCTTCTTTTTATCTGGTATTCTATAAGTGAAACTTAAAAAGAATATAAAGAATAAGATATAAAAAATACTACAGTGTATTTACTTTAATTTGAACCAAATAAATGAGAGAAATTCAAAAAATGATGGGGTGGGCACTTTATTTTGCCTATCAGTGTATGGGACAAGGGGTAGGTCACTCCGCACACCAATATTGGGTCATCTTTTTTTTAGTGTGCCGATTGTGCCGGACATACCAATCCCGGCAAACCGGTATTGCTGACATCTAGAATGTTTTGTTTTGAAATCACAAGGATAAATCTGTCTAGCGGCATTACGGATTTAAATCTCTAAGTGAACCGAGAAGTGAACTGCTGGTCTGAGTTTCTCTGATATATTTAATCAGAAGATGTTCCTGAATATACAGCCAAACAGCACGTAATGTTGTGAACAACTTCAGTGACCAGCAGTGCTCCTATTTTATTTACAACAATCAAATGCCTACGAGATTGTGCCGAAGGTGTGCCGATGGATGTGCCGATGGATGTGCCGATGGATGTGCCCAAGCTGTGCCGAATTTAATCATGACACAATGTGCTAAGTGACTTACCCCTTGTTATGGGCCCAAATTAGGGGCATTTAGGCCGACATTACAACCATTTCCCCTATGTCCGCATGGCGGGATTTGGTTCCTGTGGAGAATTTGACACTTCCCTAGGGACACCAAAACATGCCCGGGTTGGCTAGTGTGACCATGGACTGCCAATAAGGCCATTACCGTCCGAGTTTTGCAAAATCATTAAATTTGATATGTTGCACCACCGTTCATCATAAACTAAGGACACGGGATATACTAAAGGCTGACTAAAAAGACCTGCAATTCGTTATTCAATAAGTTTAAAAAGTCCATTAATGGTTGTTTTACAGTACTATTACCAAAACCTCAAATTTACAGCATAAGATTACATTTCTCCAGTTCGAACGTAATCTCGAACCTTCCCCTTGATGAAGCCCATCAGCGCCCACACAGTGGAAACGGACACGGAATCAGCGCATTTCTTCCATTTTGCCCGCATTTGCTGGATTTCCTTGACTGCCCCGCCGCTTCGTCGAAATTGCCCAGTATTTCTCAATTGGTCGAAATTCCGGGAAATTCGGAGACAAAGGCGATCTTGTTGGCAGCATACCACTCCATAATCATCTTGGAGTAGTGACAGCTGACCAAATCGGGCCAAAAGTTAACTTTGTCCCTATGCTTGCGGATGAACGGCAATACACGGTTTTTCAGACATTTTTCGATGTAAACTTGGGATGTCATCGTCGAGGATGTGACGAATGGTTTCGTTTTCAGGCCACAACTGCAAATCGCTTGCCAAATAATGGCCGTCTTCGAGAACTTGTCGGCAAACATGAACTTGAATCTTCCCGGCACATCTCCACGTCCAGTCGCGATGTAAAACTTTTGACCGGGAAGCTGCTTAAAATCGAGATTGACGTATGTTTCGTCATCGATCAAAGTGCAGCCCTTGTGTTTCGTCAAAACACGGTTGTACAAGAGCCTTGCATGCTTTTTGGCCACGCAATTCTGCTGCGTGTGGGGATTCGGATGTTTACTGGCTTTGTATGACTTGTATGCTTCCCTGGCAAGGATGTTCCGCGCCGTTTGAAAGCTGGCCACATCTCGGATCGAAAGACCGGGGCTGGCTTCAACGTACCTCAAAACCTTGCTGCGCAACTGACGATCCCTGGTTCCAGTTTTTTCGTATGTCCACTGATTCCTTTCCACATTCAGGGTTTTCTTGTAGGTTTGGAACAATCGACAAACTGTTGTTTTCGACATCTTCAGCACTTTAGCCAGCTTCGAACCGGACCACTCCGGATTTTAGAGGTGTTTGTGCACAATATTTTTTTCTTCTTTCGAGTTCCGTTTGACGTTATTTCTGAACGCGATCGACTACTTTGATCAAACTTTCACCAGTTGTTCTCTATAGAAGCGTCTGTAAACAAACCATTGTCAAAGATTTTCGATTCCTAGCAGTTGAGGCGTACTAGCGACGCCCGAGGGCGTACCAATTTACTTTAATTCAGCCTTTACAATAGATCAAATTACTGGTCGCAGTAGGGTTTTAAGTCCCAAACAGAGGGAAAAAAACAAGGCCGATCACCCACTCCCCTAAAATGCTACGGCATTTATGCATGGTCCATTTTGGAAAAATATCAATCGATCGTCTATCGTCAATCTGTTGTTCAATTGTTTTAATCAAATTCTCGTAATTTTTCAGTTGTTTGTTTGTCCCATAGTATGCTCAAAACGTCTATTTAATGTCAAATATATAAGATTTGGAATCAAAGTTATGCAAATGTTGTTAATAAGAAGAAAATCGTCTTAAAGAAAAAAATTGAGTGCACACAATATATCAAATTAATTTTTCGCAATCAATCGGCTGCAAAAAAAACATTACCGACACTCCCTTTCAAGTCTGAAAATAAGAAACTACTTCAGTCAACAGTAACCCAATATATCACCAATTCGCATTTCACAAAATAAAAGTTGCCCTCTTCACATTTCACAGCCATGGCAACGGGCCAAGCTCAATTTATCGCCCACTTACCCCCGAAAAGTATCCACTTGAACCGTATCGTCGTATCACAGATTGATTTCCATCGAAAAGCACCATTGAGCCAATTAGCTATGGATGCTGGCACAGACCATACGTTCTCCAGATGCTTTTTGGTCACGAAAACTTGACTTCTTCATCATGCAGCACCAGAATCGTCTATCACGGGGCGGAGGGACTGTTTTATCCTTAACATGACTGGTTTGCCTTATTCTATTTCCCTAGGTGACCCATCCGCGGCACATCATGTTAACTAGGTTTGCGTGTGACACTGACGACCAGTTTGGTTGAGCACACGTGTGAGAACATGAACTTGACACTTTGCTAACCCCATCTCAGACATAGACGAAGGTAAACTATAGCGTGCGTCATTCCACGGACATGTGATCGGGTGTCGGTGTTGCCTGGAATTGGGAATTTATTGTGAACAATGTGGAACCTAATTGAATAAGCAATCAGGCAACACTGAACCAAAGCGGTAGCAAGTTTCTCCGAAGAAATCAAGTCAGTCATTAAAGTAAAGCCCGCCGAGAGTTGAGGAAAAATCTTCTCGCTCCATCCATCCCAGTCAGTTGGTGTGCGATAAAAACGTATCGTTAAGTTACATCCCCAACTCCAACGAAAAGCACTTACTAGAAGAGCGGATGTCCTCGTACTTCGATACTCGTTCGTACTTCGTATGGTGAAAGCAAACACGCATAAGTAATAAATTTCCTTCCGCCATGCCACTCTGCCACCATCAAAAGTGCTGTGAACTTTGTCCAAGAGCACGTGCGCTGCCCATTTTCAGCATTGTAATATATGCGGCACTCTGCTCCCCCACTCACCTTTGACTTCCAGCTGTCCAGTAGGCCCTGCTGGCTATCGGCTGAACTGATTTTTACCCTCTGGTCGTCCTCGGTCATGCCCGGCAGTAGCACCGTCATATTCCTCGGTCCCTTGAAACCTAAAATGTTGGTGTCCTACGACGGAGCGGATATACAGTGAACAAACATCATTAACGCCACATTCTCAATGGATAGTAAAAAAAATCATAAATCTTTGTCAAAGATGTCGCCCTGCGTCTATACTTACGTATATCACCACCGCCAGGTCTAGCCTCGGATTACCCTGGTCTTCCTTCTTGCCATTGTCGTACACGAAGAAGGTCGTTCCGAACACATTCGACCGGAGCTTCCCCACAAACCCGTCGGCCTGTCGGGACAAATCGGTTGGATCACAGCTAATGACGTAGTTTGACGTTTTACTCTTTTTGCGCTTTCGGCCTGTCAATTTTAAAGTTTTTCGATTATAATTGAAAATATTTGAAATTTTTTCAGTTCCAAAACAAACCCGCTAAGCAAAACACCCTCTTCCCGTAGTCCCGTTCCAGATGCAGATAGTAGATCGGAAACAGCCCCCGGTCCATCCCTTTCCGGTCTCTGGTTATCCTACATTTGTACAGCACTCCCTGTGGAGCCGGTTGCGTCACCCACTGTTCCAGCGGTCCAATCACGTCCCCCTCGGTGTCGTTATGGCCACTGGCTTGCGGCGAGGAATGTTCCACGCTCTTGCCGCTACTGCTGTCGTGATGGCTTCCACCGTTGTTGTTCATCAGGGCAGGTGAAATCGGAGCCGAATGCGTCAGGTGGTCCGCACTGTGCCTCGAGTCGAAGCTGTTCGACGACGGAAGAATGTCCACCGGGGTGCTTTCCTCGTCTTCGCTGTCCTGTGACGAGGGGGTGAGTTTCTCCAGCGGACCTGGATGGGGGAATGGGAAACTCATGAGTTTGGGTTTGGAATTAATTACGTCGATTACACACTTTGTACAGGAATGTACTCATACATTTACTTGATTAAATATGTCCATCAAGAGTTATTTGGGGTGCATAGAACCATATGGAAATAATTCCCCACAGTGCGCAGTGATTCTGAGAAAATACGATCAAAACCCATTTCTCACCTTTTCCGATGTTTTAGAGTTTGTGTGTCTTCGAAAAAGCTTCTTGAAATATTAGTCTGCGTCTTTAAAACATGCATATAAATGTTTATTAAGGTGGTATTACACTTATAAAAGCGGACTTTTTCCATCGCAAATTTGTCATGAATCTGACACTAAGTTTCTTTATCAGAAGGCCGTTCGCAATGCTGAGTTTCAAAATTAATCATGTTTTGTTGTTTTTGACATCATCCACATCCAGAGGGCCAGTCACTTTCGAATGTATGGGAATGGTAGGAAACCATTTGGAAATGCATGAAAATTTTCAGTTTTTATTCATTATCGCCTTTATGGGCAGTTTTAGATGCACAAAAATTGCACGAGTACATTACTATGGTGATAAGGTAAACACTCGTTTATTTGTTTCCCTCTGTGAAAGCATGTTTAGTCACAAATCGTGGATTTTCTGATATTCTCCATACTGCAAAAATGATTTTCCTACCACTGAAGGGGCGACATCTTTCGGATCTTCAGTATAGCTACTACTCAAATCATATAATTAATTGTTTCGAACTACTCGACAGTTCTAAAGCTTAAAACTGTCAAAAATGAAACTGCAACACGATCAGCGTAATGCACAGTTATAAAACGTGATTGGTATTCGTTCCTTCTTATTTAGCATGAACCTGGTTTTAGCACGAATCTGATTAACTGATGGCTTTTGGAATAATTTCTGTTCATTTTATAAGGTGGACGCCTTTATTTCAATATACGAAGCTCAATTTTACTTAATTTTGTCTTATCTTCGATTAGCGTGTAGTTCAATAAACAAACCCTTGGCTGTGGCAGTTGAATTCAGCGCCTGTTTTGTATTATGTCGTTTTCGTTTTTGCGTTGTAGCACTGGTGTAGTGTAAGCAGGAATAAGTACGAGTCTTTGACAGCTCAACATCATTTGTTTGTGAACAAAGGTGCATCCTATATCTACACCCTAAAATATTTCGGTGTACGGCAGTGTAGTACCGGGGTAGCTACACCGCAAAAACGAAAACGACATTAGAAAAATGTCACGTATTGATTTGGAAACCATACGTTAGATTTTGCACAAATGGTGCACAGAACGGCTCTCGTACAGAAAAATAGCTAGTATTGCGAAATGTTCCAAGTCAGCAGTGTTCAAAATCATCAAGAAGTTTGGAGAAGAGTTCACTATTATGGTACAAACGAAGTGACAGACGACTAACTGGCGAAGAAATCCATTAAAATAATGTGGTTCACTGTATTAGAATTTTCTTGGAAGCTTGTGCCATCATCCACCAGATGGGTTAGTTTTTTTGTTTTGATTTGAACAAAGTTGATTTTGTGTACAATGATTCTTTGACAGTGTGCAAAGAGTGCGTATCATTTTGTCATTTTTTTATGCATTTCAGTTTTGAGTAGTGTGAAAGAGATAGAACCAAAACATTCTTATACATTTGGTGAAAATGCTAGTACAATCCAGTAGTAGTGTTGCCATGTGGTACATTCCAGTAGTAGTGGTGTTGCCATGTGGTACACTGAAAAATTGAAATAGCAGGTTAGTCAGCAAAGTTTTCGAGCCGCTCCGTCTGTCACTTCGTTTGTGATTATGGGTTTGCCAAAAACTAGACGCAGACAAGGACCATCGGATCCAGATTTGGAGAGAAGAGGTGTACAGCTCCTTCTATGACAGCATTCCTACTCCGTTCGGGAAATTGCGTAAAAACTAGAGGTCAGTTTAGAATATCAAGAGGAACAACAACATTCGAATCTACCGGAAGCAGAAAGCGCCGAAGAGAACAGAATAACAACAAATTCGCGCAAATGATAACAGCTTAATAGCGTAACAGCTTTTGTAAACAATGACTCCTATCAATGATTTCTAGGAACTCAAGGCAAGCCAACGCAGACGAATACAACCATCGGATAGGGAAGTCTTTCCCTACCCGATAAGGATCATCGATAGAAGTCATTGTTTACAAAAGCTGTTAGGCCCTAATTCCAGCTCTATCTAGAGATGTGACGGCAGCAGAGTTGCGACCTTTTAAAATCACGATCGGGGTACGTGAAATGCTGGTGTTTATTACTCTACATATACAGTTTTGTTGTACCTGATGAACGTTACTAAAATTCTATTTTTGTGAATTCTTTGAGGCAACATAATTTTATTATCAAAAGCAAGTGTCGACCTTTTAAAATCAGTCCTTATCATAAGCGAATATCTGACAGACGGGATTTAAATTATTGGACAGTAGAAGGTCATCAAAATAATTGAGAGAAATAACGAGAAGACATTATTTGAATTGTCGAACAGTTTGGGATCTTCAGAATAGTACGTATTCAACCAGATGTCTTCAGAATAGTTCCTGAGTACCTGAAAAAATATGCTGAGAACTTTATACAGATCTCTGATTACCTTAAGATTTATGAAATAAATTCTAAGTAGCTTGGTATGGAAAATATCTTAGGGATGTTATTAGATTATTTATGGAGATCGCTGATTATCTGATTTTCTTTGAAACAATTTGTGAGTAACCTAGTATCGTAGGTTAATATAGGAGAGACGTGATTTAAATTGTTGGACAGCTGAAGATCTTCAGAGTAATACTTGATCAACCGGAAGACTTGAAAAAATATCATGAGAAGTTTTTGGAGATCTCTCATCAATTGAAGGTCTTTGGAATATATGATGCGTCACCTGATATCATGAGATAATATCTGGGATATATGTAAACCCCCATCAGCCACGAAACACATCCAAGCTGCTCCAACTAGAGAGATCTCAGCAGAGAAAAAAATGACTGTACACAGTTCGGAATACGCAGCGCCAACCCCTCACCGGCCGAATCAACTCGCGATCAACGCCGAAATCAGAACCGACAACTCCAGCGACCAAAAATAAACGCATCTAATACCGGCCATGGCACACTTCGATTGCATTTCTGAAACACAACCTCAACGCACAAAAACGACGACGGTAACATTCGATAAGCACCTTTCGTCCGGGAGGCAGAACGCCAGTAGGGTAAACGCTCCTATAGTTGCGATACGTTAGAAGCGTTAGGTTCCTATAGTTGTGTATGGAGACTCCGTACACAACTATAGGAGCCTAACGCTACTAACGTACCGACACGAGCTGAACTGCTAACGTTGATAGCCAAACGCGAACTTTATGGACACTATCCGTTCTTGAGCTAAAACGCAGTGTATTTCAATAGGAATTCCGGATAACCCCAGGAGAGCTCAGTGCTAAAATTTACCTGTCATCTTGAACAATAGCTCCGGGCAATGTCATTGTTGTTAGCTGCAGATCCTTCTTGAATTGAGCAAAGTGTTCCTCCCGTCAGTGCCAAATACTGAGATAAACAGAAACAAATGGTGCCACACGCCCCAATTTTTTCAGGAAATTGATCCACCCGGTCGGTGATTGTATCGGTTGACTCAGACACATTCATTCCGTAACACATTCTAATATCCCGGAAAGAATTATACAATCCAGCAAATTCCTCAACAGCACCACAGGCACCAAATCCGGAATAACTTCAAGATCAGTTTTCAGTTGCTTATGAAATTACTGTTGAAAATATTTCAATCGGTTTCAGCCCACCGATGATGACAGATTTCAACACAAAAATCATGTTGCTATGTATATTTGATGTTGGTCAACGCGAGTTGCTCGGAAATTCTCAGGGTTACTCAAAATTAACTCTGATTTTACTCATGACCAAAAGCTGTCTCGCCCCTTATATTCTGGAGGGAAAAGCGGATGGAAATGGACCGAATCCTTCAAGAACAGCGGATCAAAATGGAGAACGAGCTTCGGGCCAAAGAATTAATCATTTTGTTCGACCTTTTTCCACAGAGATGGCGCTGTTCCGCTGGTAGGAAGTGATAAAAATCCCCATATAGAAATTGAGAGAAGTGCGAATAATTCGCTTCCGGTGCATATTCAGGTCAAAAAAAAAAGCGAACGACAACCTAAAAAAATTAGTCAGGGGCTTTGTCGTTCAGTTTTTCCCGGAAATTAATGCTAAACAAGCTACAATTAAATAAAAATGATTTTTCCCCATACAGTTTTTCCTGCTTTACTACCAGTCCCAGAGAGCCAAAAAATTTAAATTTGAGAGAGAAATTCTCTCTCACGAGCTCAATCTCTCAACATGCCATGTATTTTGTTGACACTCGATTTGTGATTTCCCTTTCACAGATTACAAAATAGAGTACCTGACACTACAAAACATGTCTGGTACCTCTATATATGCATTTGCTTTAACATTTGAAGACCCTCCTTTTTTACATATTCTGCGCAAAAGATACTTTATGCCCCGCCCCATACATAAAATTTGGCGGGAAATTCTGTGAGGGGTGAGCTATTTTGTGTGCAGAATGTGTAAAAAAAGGAGAGACTTCGAATAATAATCTAAAGCTCAACCAACAGTTGGCTGCTGCCCAGTCAGCTGCCGCTGCAGTACCCAGTCAAGCCTCCGGCCCATCGACGGATCCCCCTGCTCCGGGATTGGCCGGTACAACCGGTGAAGCTACAGACGATTCTCCGCTGTCAACGGATGAGATCGTCACACTGTTGGCCCAGGCCATCATCATCAAGCGCACCTGCGCAACAAGAACACAACAGCTCCAAGCTATCATCTCCTTCGTCGCTAATTATGGACCGTGAACCCATAAAGATCGCCAACTGGAACGCTCGCTCCGTAGGGGCGAAAAACATTGAGCTTGCAGACTTCCTCCGCAAGCACGACATCGACGTGGGCCTTCTCACCGAGACTCACCTCAAGACCGGTGACAGC